TTCGTTTATAAATAATGTTTGTATTGTACAAGAACCAATTAACCATATCCAATAAATTTATTTGAGCAGATAAGACTATAAAAATACTGAAGTCCAGTTAAAGGGCGTATAACTAATAATAACGTACCATCGATATGATTATAGGTCAAAGACTTTTTATATGATTTTCGGGAAATTTCAGTCGTCTTGTCGAGGCTTAACACCAAAGTAAGTACAGGTTAATAATAATCAATAGAATATCATCGAACAAGAAATGTATTACTCAATTTTATACTTGATAATTATTAAAATATAATTATTATCCGAATTGAGTATCATTAATAATATGATTGATATGACTACAAAATTTACATGTAGAGTATTACTCACATACAATTCTGTATGCCATTAAGTCAATTAATAACCATATTTACATTATGATTAAAATATGAATAACTAAATAAGTTGTTAAATTTAAAACAAATGCATAAACGTACTTTTTTCCTTTTTCATTAGTGTTCTCTGTCCATTAATAATAATAATAATTAGTATCTTCAAACGATGATAAAATATTATACGAATAAATCATAGAATGTTTAATTTATACAGTTGTGTATATTTTAGTTGTATTTAAAATTAAAAACTAAATAATATATAAAAAAAAACTTGTTTTACTAACACTTTTCAAAGAGTACCTGTCCGAGTTCTTTATCGGATATCAAGAGATATTTATTTTTTTAATATCCATTAACGTTGATTATTCATTTTTATACTACAGTAATAATATTTGATTATTGATACTGAAATTAAAATAAAATATTTAATTTAATACAATGTCATTGATGGATCCAAGTATAAACAAAATTCTAACGTAAATGTGATTGAAATTGTATAATTTATATTATTTAACTGTAAAAAATATCATAGGTATTTATCTATATTATTTAAGTATTTTTTTTTATTTTTTATAGTTTATAGCTGTTATATAGTATTGAAAAATCATTATGTTAAATTATTACAATATAAATAAAATAATGATAATAAATAATGGTGATATTATATAATATATTTATCTATAAAGATTAAAGAATAAAAATGTATAATATAGCTAGAAAGATGGCCAGACTAAATATTATTGTAAAGACTGAGAAATAATTATGACATTGTTTACAAAAAAAAAATCTTTGATTATAGATGTGAACGTCTGGAATGTACGTAAAAAATAAAATCTTCGAAGTCTTTTAGTTAGGTTTTAAAAATTAATTTCCTATCACATTATTACTCTCTATATTCGTTCAGTTTTAAGATGTATACGTATATTATTATACATTTTTATATACGTAATGACATTTTAAATTTATTTTAGGATATCATCTACTTATACTATGGACCTATTAATACTGTTTTATGGTATTTATAAGAATACATTATTAATTTTTGAATTATATAAGTTTATATAAGATAAAAAAAATAATATTATTATAATAATTAAATACTAAAAGTAAAATAAATTACTTTAAAAGGAATATCAGAAAAATATATATCATGAAATGTACTTTGTGATATAGACTGTCAGACTGTTTTTGCTCAGAATCGTTTTTCTTATACAATGGTATATTATTGAATTTAAATTAAACACACTCGTAGTATTGATCTATTCGACATCTAATGCTCACCAGAACAATATCTACTTGTCTACTAATTTTAAATGTATTTTAAACTTAGTAAAATTGAATTTTAATATGGTTAAATTTGGAAAAATAAATAAATTTAAAATTAAGATCGATAAAATATAATTTATATAAAAGAAATATGGCCCAGAATTCATTACATAACATTCAACACCAGATTTACTCTCGTAAAATATTTGTGTTCATTTATTTTTCACTGTTTGCATTAAAAGTCGTTTTTAGTATCGCTATGAAATAAAATTTCTTAACTGTTTACTAAGCTTAGTTCAAAAAATGTAATCTAAAATATGTTTTCACATGCAGCAAACTATTTAAAAAAAAAAAAAATCATACTAATTATTTTATTTTATTTTCTAAAATCTGTGTCAATAACATCTTTTTTCATAAATTACGAAACCATATGGGATAGTAATAAAATATTTTATAAGACAATTCAACAACTATAATTATTCCCATTTTTCAATTAAAATGAATTTATTAAAACTTTAATTCAATGAAATTTTAAATATACTCATAGAATCTATTTTTAAATTATTGAAAATACTTTTACTACTTAAGAAGTATCCTGTAACGATACACACATCTGTTTTCGAACAAGAATCTTCTTTATTTAGTGTAATAATTTGCATTGTATTCATTTTGGTTGGTTTTTTTTTTTAAATTCTAATGAACCTAATTAAAAATTCAAACGAGTAATTTTTCAGCTATTAAAATGTTTATGTTAATGATAATAGTCCTTAAAAATGTTTTAAAAAAATATTAAAAATATAATATTTATTTTACTTGAGTCATATTTATAAATTATATATGTTGATATATTAATATACATAAAATTAAATAACTACTCATTTGAATTTTGATTTTGATAATCAACATTTTAGAAAAAAAATCCACTAAATAATTATAAAACAAAAAGTAGAATAAAAAGTAGTAAAGGGGCTTGTAGTTTCTGAAAAACAGAAGTTAGTAGGTATTACTAAAAACGACAAAATCATACTCCTTAAGTAGTAAATAAAAATCTAAGGTATTAAAAAATATGATTTTTAAGTAAAACTAAAAATTTAGTAAATTGTATTTATAAAAACTAAACCATAAAATAATAAAAGGGAAATAGCTACTGAGAATGCCGTTTAGTGTATTACGTTCAATAGACATTTATTTTAATAATTATATATTAAGTTTATTTTCAATTTTGAATATACAAAATAAAACTAGTGAGACATCATAGTAATCATTTTAAATCAATTGTATATGGACACTTTTATACATGTTACTCTAAGCATATATAATTTCTATCGTCTCCATAAAGATTACATTTTATATTGATATTAAAAATATGACATTATAATTAAAATGGATCATTAAAAGAAAGTACCTACATTATTAATTTACGTTCTCGAATAATTTAATGATATTAATCACCAATTAGTAAAATTCTGTACAGCTATTATTTTAAATCTTTTCGTCGTGACAGATTTAAGACGCTAGTGTTTATAATAATGATAATAATTTTAAGATTATACATATTATAATACGCCGCGGGTGTTAATATTATGTTCAATTTATCATCCTTTAATCAAACCAATAATTTATACTCTATTTAATTAAACTTATAAATTATAAACTATGTTTAGTGATAATTATTTAAATACCATTCCAAAAATATCCAACCGGCAAAGTAATTATTTTTTTATGGATTTTATTATTTTATACATATGTATATGCGCCACAAATTATAATAATATTTATGTATTTTTAAAATAAAATTAAAGCCACGGATATTTCCTATTAACAGAATCTCATATAGTTATAGTTATAAATTATCGTTTGTCTACCAATGTGTATAGAATTAATATTAGATAAGGTTAGGTTAGATTTTACAAGATACAAGAACATTTTTAACTACAAATAAAATGTAATAAACATAATATTTTATTGAAAAATTCATATGACGTAATATAAATGTATAATAACATTATTTACGTATTATTAACCATCAAAAGATCTTCTCCAATCAGCTTCCTACGTTCCGTCTCCAAATTAACAAATAATTTCTTGACGCGTACGCATAACTAGCGTAGAGATCTACAAATATATTGGTTAAATTATTAATCCCTAGTTATGTCATATTACGGTACAGATATAATGACAACTTGATGCTGAATGTTAGCGTGATACATCTTAGATGCAGTTCGACTTCAAGTAGTTAGACCATTAGACTAGATAATGCACAGAATAATGAATTGATCTACTCAAAATCTAATTTGAAAATTTTTCCCCTTGAGTCTAGAGTTAGGTTATGAAATAATTTTAGGTGTCGATTGCATAGCGTATTTTAAATCGTAGTTACACATAATATTATGTACGCATCTACATAAACCAGCGAATGGATTAATAACATTTTTAATGCATCTTTTGACTTGTTGTAGAGTTGAAATATTATATTGTCATTATTATTATATTACTACATACGCTTGCGAGACGTTTTCTAACGCGTCATAAAATATGCTAATCATGTTCAACGTGCCTGTGTAAATCAAACAATGTGAAAACTTTTCCGAGTGTGACGATTTAAAAATTATTCACGTAAGGGGTCCACGGGTGGCCACGGTAGTATTTGTTTTGATTATTGTCTGAAATAAATCTGTGTAAAATGATGGTTAGGTGTGATAAAATTGTTGTGAGCGGGTTCGTATTATTAGGATGAAAAAAAAAATGTATAAAATGGGGTAAAAAAAAAAAAATCATTGTGGGGTGCTTATGTAACTCCACGGGGTTGCGTAATACTTCACTACACGTATTCCGAGCACACCTTTTCTTTCTTAAATAAAAACAGTACCTATGGTGAACTGACAAAACTACACGTATGAAAAAAAAATGTTTTCCCCTTCTTACATATATTATTATTAACGTCCAGAAGATATGTACACTATTCACAAACAATAGGATTCCTGGCCGATTCCTGAGAGAAATAGTGAATAATAATTTTTTTTTTGGAAATATAACTGTATCAAATATTATTTTAAATTAAATCAATAAGCTCGAGTCTCCTCTCAATCGTTGCATACAAACGATTGGTATTATGTTATTATTCTTATTATATTACATATCGTAAATTATTATTATACAAACGCGTATTGAGATGTAAAAAAAAAATAGATGCAATTGCTTACCGCAATAATATAATATTATATTACACAATGTGCACACACGTCAAACACGATATCACTGGCATTATTACTTTTACCAGTGACTATGTAATATCTTACAGCTGCCGTATGGATGAATTATGGTAGTAAAAATAATTATGTAGGTACCATTTGTACTTACCACGAGAGTTATAATTAGCATGTTGAAATCTTGCGTGTTGCATACCATGTCGCTGTCGTCGTTGTCACTCTGTTCTTTGAGGACACTGCGCGAACGATTGGATGTTTAATTTCGGGGATTTACTCGTATTGTACTATAAACGACAATTCGATCATCCGGGATTTTCCATCGTAATCCTGAAATCGGTAATATTATTGGATTAATAATAAGACATTTTGTTAAGGACACGTAATCATATAGATAATAAATAAATGGATATGGAATATCCATTCGATAAGCCATATGAATGACCTATACTAAATGCAAGTAATAAGACTTTGAGTGCAGAATAACGGAAAACCGAGGTGAATTGTTAATATTTCCATTTAAAAAATCTCCCATATAATTGAAATAAAAAAAAAATTTGATGATGTTCTATCCACTCCTTTAATATCTATGCCGGTTGTATCAGGTGTATACATAATATATTGTGTGTAATGCTTAGAATGTGATTATTATTTAATTCTATGCAATCGTTAAAAGGTTATGGATTAATTTTTATTAAGTAATTAATGAACTTAAGCTGATTTTAATTTATCAATACATTTTTAATACGGTAAGTAATTATTTTGAACACAGGACATTTCAGTCAGGTATTTCAAGTACAACTTAAGAGTGTAAATATTTTTAAACGTCATAGTACATAGTACTTACTTGCCTACCTATACACTTTTGGTGTTTTAGGGGTAAAAAGGAAATTCGATAAAAACGTTTTACATTTTCATTATTTATGTATTGTCTACAAATTACAATAGTGAATATTTAATCACTATCTTCAATGTACATGGAAATCATACAACATAATATTAACATATAATTTTCTATTATTCATGTTTATCAATGAATAACATTGTTTATAATTGTTTTATGTGAAATAATATTTAGTTGCTTATTAATGTATAGATAATAAATATATTAATATTAATATTAATAATAATTAATATTATAATTTAATAATAATTAATATTATAATTTATATTATTAATATAATATTAATCATAGATTTTGTAAAATTCAGTCAAAATTATATCAAAAATAATGGCCTGCTAGTTTAAAATTTTTATCGGCAAACTGCTAAATAATAAATGTAAATAAGATAATATTATTAATTTTATGTTATGTCTTACAAATAACTAATGATTAATAACAATATTTAGTTTTATATTAATGACTTATGTTGCGATTTATTAAGACTATAAATATCTTAACATAATAAAGTATTAATTTTTAACATAATAAAAAATTCAGTATCTCATTTCATTTTAATTTTAAGTTCCAAAATTATGGAATACTGCAGTATTGTTAACATTGAATTTATATAATATATAAATATATAAATTTAAAATAAACTACACTTTAACAGTGAAATATTATCATTTATCACACATTTGAAGAAACTCGTATAATATTACGTCTTCAACATATTTCACATCAAGATGAATACATAATATCATATAACTATCGTGGTACAAATTAAAATAATTAATAACGTATACAAAATGTTATTCAATAGACTAATATTAATGCATATTATGATATTCTACCGCTTAAAGAACTGTTGTTTACGATAGTGATAATAACTTTTAAATTATCAATTTTTAGTTAAACGCTATACGATCATAATACTATATTATGCACTTTTTTCGTCGTGTTACAGTACTCTAAGCCATAATAGCATGGAATTCATATTGTTGAGTGGTGCACAGAATGTTACACGAATACGTTTTGTAAGGTTATTGATTTACAAATATATGTAATTTAATTAAAAGTTATTATAAACCACAGATAGATTAAACGATCGGTACTATGTTTTATAATGTAAATATTTAGATACATAAAGTTATATTAGGTTTTATCATAAATAATCTGGTAAATACTTTTTGAAATTATAATAAATATATTAACGAGAACAAATATAATATTATGTATTAAATAAATATAAACAAATTTGAGTATCAACCTATGTTTTTGTTATAATATAATAAATAAAGGCTTAAGTTACAATTATTTTAAATTCTGTTATCGTCAATATTGTGCTAGAACTATGATATCCATTTTAATTTTATGCGTAGGCTAGGAGTAGAACAATCGTGTAATTTTGTAAAATTTAACTAAATTAATTTCGTTTACATCGCCGCAACAAAATTATATTTAAAAATACAATTATCAACATATAATTAATATACTGTATGATGTACATTGTACAAGTATACATCTTCAGTGTTGAGATCACTTAACATAGTTTACGAAGAGTAAAACAATTTCATTGCGATAATTTTCTCGTATTCTACTTGTGTATGGTATAATGATAATTGATAATTATTAGTGACCGGTATTTTTACATTTATTTTTATTTTTTTTTATACAACAGTTTAAATAATATTTTAATTTTTAGAATATTTCTCGACCACTTAATGTTAATACCACATCCTAGCACCCCCCCCCCCCCCCCCCAAAAAAAAAAAAAAAAAAAAAATATATATATATTAGTACACCAACATCTTGTAAATTATGAATATTTTTCTCTGCGTTTTTGTATTGATAACGTTTGTTGCCATAATTTGATTTAACTATACCTTTTTTTTGTTATTCATTTTCTAAATCATATTTAGAGCATCAATCTTTATAATAGTGTTCAGGGCATTCTGATAAAACTAATATAATGTATAAACTAACCCATAATTTATTAGATAGTTGTAATATAGTCAATGAGGACTAATAATTAACGATTTAGTTTATCTAAGAAAGATTTTCTATTCCTTATCCATAAACACATGTATAAATCCGCTGTTGGTGATCGAAAACCGTTTTTTTTTTTTTTTTAAACTGGTTTTATCAATAACAAGAAACATGTTCAGTTGTTTTGTAACTATTTATGTGTAATAATATATTAGTTAGTACTTCAATTTACAATTTATAAGATATTCAACTAATTCAAGCCAACTGACATTGATATTAAATTGCGATATGTTTTATCTTGACAAAATATAATATTATATGGTTATTCTTGACGTTTGCAGTAAGGTGCCAAAAAGTGTCAAGTACGTATATACTTTATAGTTAGTATTCTATCGGTCGTTTTAATATTAAACGTGTAAAACGTATATAATAATATTGTCATACCCCTTAAAGAATGAAACGAAGGTTATACAGTATACCTGGTAATAAGTATTTACGCCTGCCTATATTATGTATTCACTATTCTCCATGTAATATGATAAACATTTTTTTTTAATGCACTTTTAATAATTTATAATGTCAACTACATCATGTTTTTTTTATGAATATGAGATGATATAATATTATAATAATAAATCATTGATTTTTATTTAATATTATAACTGACTTTTCTGCTAATTTTATTCAACTTATATTATCCATTACGAGCTAGAGAATTTGAGTTAAGGGTATTATATTTATTAATTGCATTTATGACACTGCATGTTTTAATTTAATTTAAATGCTTTCATTTGAAAAGTATATTTATAAATAAATGAAGTTTTCTTAGAATATATATATATATATATATATATAGTGTTTCAAATAAATTATAGAATTCAAAATTCTACATGTATAACAATTTGCAGTCTTAAATTATTATTATTATTTTACATTTTTAAAATAATTACGTAAATAAGCAAAATAAAATAAAAAATAGCGACAAAATTAAAACAACACATATATTATTCTCTTATATAGTATATACGACATAGTTGACCAATATTCGTGTTGAAAATGTTTTACATTGTAGTGATAAGGTAGAGGTTTTTTCGACGAAACGGAAATACAAATTCAAAAAGTATACGGAGAAGGGATTCGAGAAGGCGGCGAAGAAGAGCTAATAATAATTCTGTCCGGCCAAACTCATCGGTTTATTCTGATCACGTCCACTTGTTTGCGTAGTGAGCTATGACTTAAGTATACGAGAAGAAAAAAATCCCTTGCGGACGATGCAAATTTATTTAAATTGAACGACAGACCCAAATGGGTCAGGGATTATGCGGTTCAAGACTATCCAGAAGAGTCCGAAAATTGGTATGGTAAAGAACTTTTGCAATGTTGACGTTTGACAATTTTAAATAAAAAACGTATTCTTATATTTGTTTTGTCAAATAAGAACGCATGTTTGAAAAAAAATTCTTTAGTCTTCAAGGGTATGAATAGAAAATTCATATTATTTAAGAATAATAGCTAGTATTCTTATAATATATTTCAATTATATTATGTTATTAGGTTAAACAAATTATTTACTTTTAGATTTAAAATGAAAAGTATTATTATTTTTTTTAGTATTACCTTACTAATACAAAATATTTCATATAAATCATAATTAAAGTTTTTTACGAACAATTTTTATATGAATACCCATCCATTACATAAATATGTGATGTATTTTAAACATTTTAAAAACGATTAAAAAATCACCAATTAAGGATTTTTAAAAGTATTTTCAGCTATTTACTCGTATGCTTACATAATTCCATATAACACATTTAGATAAATACGTATGTAACAAAAACCCCTACTGTGATCGTAATATTATAAAAAAAAATATCACTTTTTGTATAATAATTTACTGTAATAGTCGGCATTACTTTTTAATAAACATATTTTATGAGAGATACTTTTCTTTACGTCTTTTAATAATAGTCTATAGTTTTAGATTTTTGTAAAACTGTTTATAAATCTTTTTGAATTATTTCAAAAATTCTTAAGAATATAAATTAATATACTCCGAAGGATTCATCATACAGCATTAATAATTTAATAACAAACTAATATAAATATATAATAATATTAATTTTTATTCTACATTATCATTAAAAATTATTTAGTATTAATAGTATGTAATATTGTGTTATAGTTTTTCGAAAAGTTCTGAAACTGCATAATAATATGCTAGTATTAAATGCAATTATAAAAAATGTAATATTTAATTTATCATATATTTGTTTTTAATTTTTTACCATTACAACAATACGATATTGGTATAGCTATAATTTAAATTATTATTTGTTTATCGAAGCTCAAGTCGAAATTTTGATTCACAAAAATGTAATTAATGTTCGATGCATATTTTTTCCAAATATTTCTGAAAAAAATATATTTTTGGACGGTGTATATTATACTTATAGGT